CAATAGCAATAGCAATAGCAATAGCAGTTAGACTTATATACCGCTTCATAGGGCTTTTTAAACCCTCTCTAAGCGGTTTACAGAGTCAGCATATTGCCCCCAACAACAATCCGGGTCCTCATTTTACCCACCTCGAAAGGATGGAAGGCTGAGTCAACCCTGAGCCAGTGAGATGCGAACTGCAGAACTGCAGTCAGTTGAAGTAGCCTGCAGTACTGCATTTAACCACTGCACCACCTCCTCCACAAGCACACCAGCTTGGCTACCGTCCCTGTCCTACTATTCCCTTGTCTTCCTATCCATTTCATGTATCCATAATCATGTCTATACTTGTATCTGTTATCTAATTCATGCTTGATGAAATAAATAAATAATAAATAATAATAATAATAATAAATAAAAAATCAAATAAATAAAAAATAAGCAAATAATAAACAAACAGACCAAGCTCCGAGAGCACCAAGAACACCCCCCACTCCACAGCAACTTTGAGCGGCGGAAAACTTTTTTCCCCACAGCCAAAGTGAAGGGACGAGCGAGGACCCTCGGGGTGGGTGCTGCGCGTCGGAGCCCGACGCCCAAGCGAGTCCCCCTGGCGCCGAAGCCAGCCGGAGCCCCTTCCCCGGCGCCTGCCCGACCCGACCCTCCCTCCTCGGGAGCGCTGCAGTCCCTGGGAGCGGGAGTGGGGGGCGTCGCCGAGCCGCGCTTCCTGGGAGGAAGTGACCCAAGGCCGCTGGAATGCCAGCCTGGCTCGGCCGAGGCTGCCGCGCCGCGCTGCGTCTCCCGCTCGCCTCGTCGAAGCGGCTCCGACCAAGCCCCGGGCGCGGCGGAGGGAGAGCTAGGCGGGGACGGCTGCTCCTCCGACGTCCCGCCGGGGGCCATGCCGCACTTCACCGTGGTGCCGGTGGAGGACCAGTCGCGGGCCGGCTACGATGCCTTGGAAGGGCTCAGCTGGGTGGACTACAGCCAGCCCGGGGCGGACGGCGCGCCCCGAGCCTCCTGCCAGCGCGATGCCTACGACTCGGTCAGCTCCGACGGTGAGTGGCGGGGAAGCGGTTGGGCTGGCTGGACGGGCGGTCGGGCGGGCTGGCTTCCCAGCGCCCCCGGGCACTCGGTGGAGCGACAGGCGCTTGGAGAGGCGCGGCTGCTCCCGCTTGGAGAGGCGCTTCGCCAGCGCTGGAGAAGAGGCTTGCTGGGCGCTAAACTTGCATCCCGCCTGGAGACCGGGAGGCAAGAGGTCTCTGAGCGTACGCAGAGTTTTAGCAGCCGCCCGGCTGCAAAGGAAGGCGGGGGAGGCACTTGGTTGGAGTTCAGGAGGTGTAATTGTAAGGATGGTTTCCTGGGCAGAATTGAATCAGCCTCTTCTAGGACACCCACGCCAACTCTTTTCTAAACTAACATTCCTACCCCCCACCCCAAGGGTCTGGGCTACAGTTCCCATCCTTTGGGAGATGATGCTGGGTGGGTAGAGTCGCCCAATACTTGTGGGGTCTGATCTAAGGAAGCTCTTTGGAAGGAATAGGGGTTACTCCGGGTGGGGAGTTTTTGCTTGCTTCTTTAAAAGTTGAATGCTTATAGTTTTGATTTTAACAATTGTGGGGAGAGAGGAGGATTCTAAAAAGCAGAGACATCCCCCTGCCAACCAAAGTGTGTATTGTCAAGGCTGTGGTTTTCCCAGTTGCAATGGATGGCTGTGAAAGTTGGACCACAAGGAAGGCTGAGCGCCAAAGAATTGAGGCCTTTGAACTAGGATGCTGGAGAAGACTCCTTGAGTCCCTTGGACTGCAAGGCGATCCAATCGGTCAGTCCTACAGGAGATCAACCCTGACTGCTCGTTAGAAGGCCCGATCCTGAAGAGGAAACTCAAGTCCTTTGGCCACCAAATGAGAAGCCACTCACTGAAGAAGAGCCTCATGCTGGGAACGATGGAGGGCAAAAGAAGAAGGGGATGACAGAGAAGGAGGTGGCTGGATGGAGTCAGTGAAGCAGTAAGAGTGAGCTTAAATGGACTCCAGAGGATGGTAGAGGACAGGAAGGCCTGGATGGGGTTGCGATGGGTTGGACACGACTTCATGACTAACAACAACAACGAGGAGGAGGAGGAGGAGGAGGGCAGGAGGAAGAAAGGAGATGGATGGAGGTGAATTGCTGGCAATATAAACTTCCCAGCCTCTATGACAGAGAAAGAGGCTGGATTCACACTAAGCCAAGAGTGTCAAACTGAATTTCATTGAGGCCCGCATCAGGTGTGTTTGATGTCAGGGGAGGTGGCCAGGATGGGCATGGCAGGATTGACATCACTCATGTTGGGGCACCTGTAGTGGCCCGAGCACTCTGCTGGCAAAAAATGGACTCCAGAGCTCCATTTTTGGCTGTGATGGCCTCCTAAATTTCTCTGCCAGCAAAAAAGAGCTGCAGAGACACCATGTGCTGGTCTTTCACTATTTCCAGGGCAGCCCCATGGACCAGATCTAAGCACCGCATTGGCCGGATCTGGCCCACGGGCCTTGAGTTTGACACCCCAGCACTAAGCGGTGCTTTGTTTAAACCAGGGGTGTCCAACCTTGACAACTGGAAGACTTGTGGACTTCAATTCCCAGAGTTCCCCAATTTGAAGTACAGCAGTCTTCAAGCTGGCTGGGGAATTCTGGGAGTTGAACTCCACAAGTCTGCGAGTTGTCAAAGTTGGACATTCTCCCTCCCCCCTCCCCCCATTTAAACCCAGGAAGGAGATGGAAAAATCAGAGGTTACAAAATTCTATACCAGTTACGCAAATTACATTGCGCTCTTCAGGAAGGCTCTGGAGTCCCCACATTTCTGTTTCCCAGTAATAAAAGAAATTAGGAACCTACTAAATTCTTTGATTTGTTTTGTTTTGTTTCCAAGAGATATTTTTTTGGCAGATTTGGTTATAAATCTAGGAGCACCATCATTCCTGAATTTTACACATCCCTAAAAGAAACTCTTCTTTTTGTATTTTATACAATAAAAATAATAAAAATAAACTTCCAAAAAAAAGTATACAGGTAGTCCTCGACTTACGACCCCAATGGAGGCCCAAATGTCTGTTGTTAAGTGAAACATTCATTAGGTGAGTTTTGGCCCATTTTGCTGTTCTGACATAGGCTTCCCCAAAAAGCACGAAGCAAACTCCTGGTCCTGACTTTTATTAAACGAATGTGAATTCCTCTCATTCATATTCAGCAAACTTTCTTTCAAAGGGATATTTATGACCACTGACCTTATCTATCTTGGAAAGCTGCCATGTAAATATTTTCCAAATGAGGTACTGTACAAGGAAAGACTGGGCACAGAGTCTCTGAGATTCACGGACAGATCTTCACACTCCTGAAACGAATCGAACGAATGAATGAACTAATAGTTTCCTGCAAAAGTCCACTCCCCTTTCGCTCATCTTTTATTTCCTATGGGATGACCAATCACCTTCCACCTATGACTTTACTCCCAAGCCTACCCTGGTTTCTGAGTTGTTCTTTTCTTCTGGCAGCTCTGTGCATGCGCACACTGGGAACAGGCTCCAGCTGTTCCTCTGCCTCGGTGCTCTCTAGCTCCGAAGGCAGCTGATAACTGCCAGACAGCCTTGGCCCCGTCTCTGCCTCTGACACAGAGCCCCCATCAGAGCCTTCCCCAGCCTTGAGGACTGGCCCATGCTCCTCCCAACCTCCTCACTGTCCAACTCTGCCACCAGCTCCACTGGTGGGCAACAACACTTGCCACCTTTCTTGCTACCGTTGTTAAATGAATCACTGTGATAGATAAGTTAGTAGCCTGGTTATTTACTGAATCCCCATCGATTTTGCTGCTGGGAAGGTTGCAAAATATGAGAAATAGTGATGGTCATAACTATGAACCAGTTGCCTAGCATCTGAAAATGTTGACCACATGATCATGGGAATGCTGCAAAGGTCGTAACTGTGAAATATGGTCATAAGTCACGTTTTTCAGTATCATCGTAACTTTGAACAGTCACTAAATGAACTGTTGCAAGTTGAGGACTACCTGTAACTGATTCACACAACATGCTGGTTTAAACGTGGCCAATGTGAAACTATGCGATATGTCTTCTGAACCAGATGATTTCTTTTAAGGTGGATTTTGCAGCTGACAAACTGTTTCAATTACATCATTTTGGGTTCTGAATGTTGCCGGCTGAAGAGCTGTCCTGTTTAGTGAGCAGTCTTCTTTGGGTCACTTATTTCTAAATGGAACAGACCAGCTACCGTATTTTTTGGAGTATAAAACACACCTTTTTCCCTCAAAAAAGAGGCTGAAAATCTGGGTGCGTCTTATACATCAAATACAGCATTTTTTTTCCTCCCAAAGCCCCGCCCCTTCACCAAAATGGCTGTGCATAGCCTTATGGGGAGGCTTTTGGAGAGCTCCTGGGGGCTGGGGAGGACAGAAATGAGCAAAAAACCGGGCCATTTTGGAAAGCTCTTTAACTGATTGATTAGAATTATATTGATCAAGTGCTGTGCCAGCAGAAACAAAGTCTTAGGTGCTGCAGATTGTCAGCAATTTCCTTCTCCAGCACCTGGAGAATAAATACACCTGGAAACATCTACCTACCTACCTACTCTCTCTCTCTCCCCCTACCTACCTGCTGTATTTCCCTCTCTCTCTCCCCCTCTATCTACCTACGTACTTACCTACTCTCTCCCTCCCTCCCTCCCTCCCTCCTGTATTTCTCTCTCTCTATTTCTCTCTCTCTCTATCCCTCTACCTACCACCCTACCTACTCTCTCTCTCTACCTATCTACTGTATTTCTCTCTCTCTATCTATTTCTATTTTTTTTCTCTCTCTCTATCCCTCTACCTACCAACCTACCTACTCTCTCTCTCTACCTATCTACTGTATTTCTCTCTCTCTATCTAT